CCGTGGACATCGTTTCGGTGGACGTGTCTCAGTACGGAGCAGGCGACGGCGGCGTCAGTGAGTCCCTCTGCGCCTCCGCCGAATCGCTGTACGCGACTGCGGACTGCAGCGCGAGCTGCGACAGCGACAAGAGTGATCAGACCGCGTTCACGATGAACTTCCCTACGCATGTCGGCAGCGGAGTGCACAAGAAGTGGGCGGCGGCGAATAATCAGGCCCCCGGCAGTCCGTCTCTTTCTGCCGCAGACGGTGGCGGACTTGGCAAGCCAGGCGTTTGCCCGTTAACAATCCCCGCGAGGGAGCCAGCCGGAAAGGGTGCGTCGCGGGGAGAAAAGGGAACCGACGCGGGAGGGCAACCACCAGGACCACCTGCGGCCCCGCCAGCAGGCACGGCGGAGAGCGGGACACGTGGATCCGGAGAGACGGGCACTTCCCCAACCCCTCAACGCCCTTCCGGCACGCCCAACTCCGCCACCCCTCCCACCGGCGGCAGCGAAGGAAGCACAACGACGACCACCAGCAGTCCGAGTGCTGCGAAACACACAAAAAGCAACACAGACAGCAGTGAAATCGTGACGGTGCGGGCGCGTGCCCCACTGCTGCTGCTGTCGCTGCTGCTCACGGCTGCCCTTGCCTGCGCTGCTGGACAGTGGTAGGACGAGGCAACCGCACACACCCACCCACCCTGGCAGGGACGACGCATACGCTTTCTCTGCCCAGTTTGCTTGTCGTCCCCGTGGGACAATCCTCCTCTCTCCTGTGCTCTGAGAGACTTATTATTTTTTGCTTTTTTTTTTTTTCTTATTGCTTCGCCACTCCATGCACGTTCCCATGGGCGGCGCACCCTTTTCCCCCTCCTGTTTGCTGCCGCCCACACACACACGCACGCACGTGCGGTGCCGGCCGCATTGCTGTGCGCCGCACGGATGTGACGCAACTGGCAGGCAGAAGCGCAGACCGAACTCCGCATGAGATGTGCGAGGTGTGTGTGGGCCCATGCAAGAAGGCGATGTTTCCTTTTGATTCGTGGAGGTATTAAATATTACACACTCATACAGTCCTCTTGTGCTGCTGGACGCGTGAAAGTAATGAAACGCCGGTCAAAGTCATTCTTTTTTTTGTTTTCTCTGAGTCTTGCTGGGCTTCCACATTGTTTTTTTTTATTGTAATTTTACTTGGGGTAACTCGCCGCGGCACACGTTGAGTTTGTGCGCCGTGTCCGCCGCTGTCGCTGCGTGTCTCTTTGTGCGTTGCCTTCCGCCGTTGGCTGTGCCGCCGGCACGCTCCCATTTCCCCTCCTTTTCTCTTACTTCTCGCTAGAGGCACCGGCAGCCCACGACGGCGAAGACTCCTTTTTTGTTCCCCGCTGCGGTGGCGCGGGAGTGACGGGACGTGCGGCCGCCACCTTCTGCGACCGCTGCGGCGGGAGAGAAGAGACGGCGTGTGCGTGTGCGTGTGCGGCGTGTGCGGGGCTCTCTTTTTCTCCTCACCCCCCCCCCCCCCACTTGTGCGTGTGTGTGCGTGAGGCGAGTGCGTCCGCGAGGGATTATTCTGTCGCCGCCACGGAGGCGTAGGCAGTCGCGCTGCACCAAGAGAAACGAAAGAAAAACTGAGCGACGCCTGCTGGAGGCAGCGTCACTTTGCACGGCGTCTCGCATGATGCGTGCGCGGCAGGAAAGCCACCAACTGCCGCAGCGTCGGCAGCGGGTGCGTCCGTGCACGGATTGGACGCGTGGCTGCTGGAGGACTCGGGGAAAGTAGCGGCGGGTGGGAGGGCGCACCGCGCACGACCCCACGGGCGGAGGCGCGTGCCGCTCGTCCGCAGGCAGGGGCGTTCGAAAGTATTTAGTTGGCCACCGCAACAGTTGCGTCGACGGCACGGGGCTCGTGCACGTACTGCGCAGCGAAGGGGGGCGCGGGAGGGGCGGGGTGGGAGCCGCCGGCACGTCCACTTTGCCG